TTTTCCGTGGGTTGAAAAAGGTCCATTTCGCCCAGCAACTAAATCAGCTCCATCTTCAATGTCACTTAGCTCACTCAGCTCACCCAAGTAAGTGTCATCTGATGGGGAAACCTCTGTTGAATCGAGTTGGTCGACAAGATCGTCCCCTTGGGCCGGTTCTATGATCCGAGCAGGTCGGTGCTCGAACCGGGGCGCATCACCATCAGCTGACTATTTCCCGTGCTATCCATCCAGGCCCATCCACAACCGGAAAATTGATCTATAGAGGTCCAAGAACCGTCTATCATGCAGATATCATTTAGGCTAATGGTCTGGCGTTCCGTATCACCATCTTCTTGTGTAATCACAGCATCTTGTTCATTGGCTTGGAACCATGCAATACACTCACTTTCCGCAAACCGGGCCAATTCCATGCAGGTTAACTTATTTTAAAGCCAAAAGAGTCCATATTAATTGTAACTAATAATCGGTTAAAAAGTGAACCCAAATATGTAAAATTAATGAGTTGTGAATCATAACTGATGATGAATTAACTATTGATTCATATGGCATCTGCTCACCATCTCATGTATATTTTAAGAAAATGAAAAAAAAAACAGACTGTGGGTTTTACTCATTTCTATTTAAGTTAACGATATATATTGATATGAGAAAGGCAATATACATTATATATTAACCTTGAAACGAGTGTATATACTCTTAATCTAAATTTGCTCTGAAGGCTGTATAATACACGTTTAAAATATTTAAAAAATTTATTACTTCATAATAAGTTTCTATAATTTTGTACAAGAGATTTCTTAACAGTAATGTAAGTAGCAATGTGGATCTCTTCTCGGCCAAGAAGCTTTGCTTAATTTGTTGATTCATGGTTTAGTTTATATTATATATCAAGTTTTGGGTGGTTATTTTCACTTAAATGTTTTTTTTTTTAATATTTGGTTTGCGTTTTATTTTTCATTTGTAATGTGCTCTCATAAATGGTTTTAGAAAACAATTGTATTCTGGTCAATTTTGGATTCATTTTATTCATGTGAAGGTACATATTTTCTATGATTACAAATATCCTAATAATAAAAGAAAATTAACTTGGATTTTAGGCTAGAAGATTCATGACTTAAATTTAGTTATAGTGATATGTCACTTAAATTTAGAACTGTACAATTTGGATTCTTAACCAATTTTCTTTAGTCTAGCGCTTAATTGTTTTTGGATAGGGGTTACGATATTAATCGTCTAAATATCCAAGATGAGATTCCCCCTTATGCTACTTTTGCTTCTTTAATTTCTCATGTTCCATGGACAATTCTATAAAAGTTATGTCTATCATTCATAGGTAGTACCTTGTGCGGTATCTCATGAAAGTATCAGTTTGATGTATGTTTCTTGACCTTCTCTGGAAATGTTTGATTTGAGGAACCTTTCCTTTGTGTGGTGTTCCATATATCACAAAGACTATATACACTCTCCAAAATGCTAATGCATCATAACACCACCTAGCACCGTGTGAATCAAGACTTGCATCAAAAAGCCTCATTCAATGATCGAATGGGAAAGAAGATTTATGACAGTTTGGCTTTTTTTTTGTGTGTTATAATTGTCTGTATTCATGCTTATCACCATTACAAGCAGGCTATACAGTTCTGAAAAACCTATTATTATTGATCACAACTTGCTTAATGTTAACAACGATTGCAAATATAAGTGTTGTAGTTAAACTTACACATCTTAAAGATGAGTTATATTTTAACTTGATTTATGTATTATGTAAACTTATGTATGTCATACACTCAAATTTCATCATATATGCATGTATGCATACTTTTAAACAATACATACAATGAAACATATATTCACATCTATATGAGAATATCATTTGAAACTTATATATCATAGTAGAATAAATCTTTTTCAGAAACTTTAAATGAAGAAAATTACTATCTCCGCATATTAAAGAAGAGCCATTCGATATTTTTGAATTACATTGTTTTTTAAAAGGAGATTCTTTGTGTAACAGAAAAAATGACAATATTTATATAAAAAAAATTGTTTAAAGTAATGGCATATTAGTAAGTAAAATAATTTTTTTAATCTAAAAAAAACAAAGGAAAATCTGTCTACGAAAACCAATGATATAATCATCCCACCTAAGAAATACGCAAAAATTTAACAAAAATAGAAAAAAACAACAACTCTAGCCTACTTTTGTTATCTTCATTATTTAGGTCGTGTTACTATGATAAATTTTTGGTTTTATAAATGTAAAACAATTTTAACATAGTTATTACTTTCTGTTTTGTAAGACAAAAATTATATTTAATTAAATAACAAACGTATAAATGATACTGAATTAAAATAGGATAAAAGCAAAACAATTTAAAAACATATTTTAACAAATTCAAAATAAATTATCCGCGCGTAGCGCGGAAAAGGATCTAGTACATTTAAAATCTGTTTAGGATCTTCTCTTCTCAATCTACACTTATATTTTGCTTAGGAACAATTAGGTATGTCCCTGATAGTAAGCTGTAGAAGCATGGGCTTTGGGCCCTAGATAATATTTACAACTTTCGGCCACTTTTTCATAAGTATCTCTTTAATCTAGTGGTTTCAATAGTGAAGGTTGAATCATAACAACCTGTGTTCAACCCATTGTTGCCAATGATTTTCAACTTTATGGATCGTAACAACAAAGTACTGAATTAAAAATAAATGTTGTCTATTGGTGTGTTTTCTTCTCGCAAATTTATCATCTAATTACTTCAAAATGCAGTTGTGAAGAATTTTCTTGCTCAATGAAATGTGGAACCCCTGAGGCAGTAACTAGAATCAAGCTTCCTAATGATGAATATTTCATTTTCTAACACTATGTTTATTCTATTATTATATGCTTATTGATGTCTTTATGTATCTGCAGGGAGCGAAATTTCATTTGACGTCATCACATGGTTGAGATGTTCAAAATGTAGTGATCATAATCTATTTCAGACCGAGATCGCCACTCTGAAACCTTTTCCTTTCTTTCATTTTACTACGAAGTGAGCTTTTGGTTTAAGCTTATTAATCTAAAAGTCACAAACTCCAAAAAACTAATTTGGATACTTGAAAAGGAGATTAATTCATGTTTAGTATTTAATTACAATACCCAGACAACAAACCCAAGTCTTTTATATCTACTTTGGACCCCTTTTTATTTATACTCTTTTTTTTTCCTGGGGAGAAACAGTGAAAGAGGCATATACACTCGCTCGCCAGCAGACTCACCTTCATCATTATTCATCAGTAGACAGAAATGTCGACGCTTATACCTCTCATGGAAAGATTCTTCCCAGAAAGCTTGTGATTCTCACGCAATCCCAGCCACAGGCACGAGATCCTCGCTAACGCAGCTTGCCCCACCACTTTCACCCGGTACACCATGCTCAGATCTGCAGCTGCAGCCCATAACTCGTTCCCAGCAACATTCATTGACCTCTCATCATAGCCCTCTACATCGGAGTGGGTCACTAGCACCATCGACCCATCATCAAACACAACCACATTCCCAGAACAAACCTGCTTCACATTTCTTGGGATAAGAGCTGAGGTTGCATCATCAGGTAAGGAACTCTGAGTGTTCAGCACCTTGACATGGTAGTACTCAAGAACGGCCTGCAAGTACAATAAGGCATCAGAGGATGAAGTAAAATAAGATCAAAGAACAGAGCAAAGAACGTGTCCCAGTTGATTACCTTCCATTGGGTGGTAGCTAATTTAACCCTGGGCCTGATTGACTTTACATAATCATAAGCTGCTTCAGGTGTCATGTGTTTGTGTTGCACCTGTATTAAAAATATATATATAATCAGAGAGAGAAAAAACATGTCTATGGGATTCATTGTAACACAAACCAAGTAGCATATGACGACAGTTGTGCTGCGGCCACGACCCGCCTTGCAATGAACATAAGTCGTCTTCCCAAAGGATGCATTTCCTTAAACGAGTTAACAAAAGAATTAAAGATCAACAAAAAGTAAAAGAAATAAAAAGAGAAGGTAAACTTACTGTGGATAAAATCTACAGCTTGGCATATAGCTTCCATGGAAGGTGCGAAACAATAATCTCTCGTGGCAATCACCAGATGGTCAATGCAGTACGACTTCCATAAGAGTAAAAAAACAAAATCAAGTTAGTAATATAGGAGGTAACCAAAAGACAGATCACGATAGTCAAAGTTCAAAAAAAAAAGAAAAAAAAGAAACAGACTTTGTAGAGAGAAGATGGAACCAAAGTCTCATAAGGCTCATTGAGAGTGATCACTCCACAAACACCGAGCTCTTTCAGCCTTGGAACATCAGACTGAAACGGAACAGCTCCCAGTAATATAAACTGGACACACAAAAAAAAACAACATAAAGAATGATAGCTAAGACACACAGACCAAAGTATTTACAAGAGACCAAACCAATTAAATAGACATAAACGAGCTCTGAAAAGGAGGATTAAAGATATATACCTGAGCAACCCTATCCCACCAATGAAACTCAGAGTCAACCTTATTCCTCACAACGTTGTAAACCAGCGTTGGATAGAACAAGGCACGTGCACCAACACCAACAAGTGCCATCTTTGTCGTCAACACATTCACGTTCCCTCCTTCATCCACGCCCCCAACCTCCTCCACCGATCTCTCCCCCTTCTCATTCACTTCTTCGATATACATAATCCCCAACCAATCAAAGATCAAACAATCGAATCTTCAAAAAAAAAAGAAAACCCTAATGGATTCGGAGACAAAGCCAAGGAGAAAGTCTACACGAAATCGAAATCCTGATGAAGTCAAGCGGAAGCGATCGGATTAAAGCTGAATTCAAAATCCTCAGGGTGATCACCACCATGTTTCGCCTGAACCACACAATTCGATTCGATCAGGCTCCGGCAATTACGAGACGGAGATGATATCTCAGAACAATCGATCGCCTATGATCGAAGAGACGAATCGCGAGTAGAAGAACCCTAATATCAAAGTTTAAGCTTTTTTTTTTTTTTTGCAAATTTGGGGATCGATGATTTTTATGCCTAATCTCTCTACTCAACCTTGTTTGGTTTTCTCTTTTAAGAGAGGGGAACGTAAATAAATAAAAATAAAGGGACTGAGTGTTTTCAGGAGTTTTGCTAAACTGACACAGCATTTCACCTGATGTAATAGATTAGCTGAAAGTCAATTGTAAGATGACATGTGTCGTTGCCGTTTATGGAGAAAGAATCATGCGTCCCACACACCCAAGGATAACATTGAGGATTATCTTTTCTTTAATCATCAGACAAATCTGTTTGGAAAATAAAACAAAGACTTGGTTGACAAAAAAACAAACACAAAGACTGGGAAAATGGGCATTTAATTCCCCAAGTATTTGAAATCGGCAATTTTAATACTCAAGTATTGCTCGTGCAGAATTATTCTCCAACTAATAGTTGATTGCACGAAATTAGAAACGAAATAGTTAACCGTTAAATGGTTAACAGAAAGATAACGGGTTCCGTCAACTTTTTAACGGTTGATTATTTCGTTCATAATTTCATACAGTCAACTATTAGTTGGGGAATAATTCAGCGCAAGAAATACTTGAGTATTTAATTTGCCGATTTGAAAATACTTGAGGAATTGAAAAAATCAATATTTTAAAAAAATATATATATAATTTAAAAGATTTTCAAGTCGGATACAATCAATATTCAAGATTTTTACTTTTTGAAAGAGATTTTTGAGCTTTTACAATAACATGTACAATAATAAAAATAGTTATAGTTGCAGTTTATTGTTGATGTACTTCATGTTTATAAAATCACATATGGATGATTTCATATCGTTTACGGAATCATATGTTGTAAATCAGATCTTTACTTTAGACTAGAGATGGCAAAAAATATCGAACCGAATGAAACCAAACCAACTGAACCAAAATCACTCCAAACCAAACTAAACCGAGTTAAACCGAACCGAGAAAACAATTTGCTTTTGTTATTATTTGAAAACTAAAGTCACTATTTAACTTTATACAATATACTTAAATCCTAACACTAACGATTAACTTTATTAACGCTTTTTAAAAAAAAAAATATCTATTTACTTTAGTTAACTTTGGTTTGATTGTGTTCTTATAAAAAAATGATGATTTTCCGATTTTTTTTTTCAGTTTTATATTATAATTAATTTACATTAAACATGATTTTTATTAAAATAACTAAACTAAAAGAAAACAATTAAACCAAACTGAAACTGATCCAAACCAAACTAATTATGGTTTACTTTAGATGGAAAATTTCGAGAACTGTATTAACCAAACCGAACCGAACCAAACCGAAAATAACCAAAGTTTCTACTCCTACTTTAAGCAATCATATGTAGTTACCTCTACTTTAGACTATCATATATTGTACATCATCAATGCAATGCAATGCAATGCGTTATCTTATTTTATTTTCTTTTCTAAAACTCCAAAATCCATTTTCAGTAAAAGGTATCTTGTATATTTGTTCCATTGTTTATTTGTTCAAATTGAGAATCTTTTTAATTTGAAATTATTTTAAAAAATCATCTTAAGTTATTTTATAAACATGAAATACATCAACAATAAACTGCAACTATAATTATTTTTATTACTGTAAATTTCATTGTAAAAACTCAAAAATCTCTTTCAAAAAGTAAAAATCTCGAATATTGACTGTATCTGACTTGAAAATCTTTTAAATTATATATTTTTAAAAAATAAAATATTGATTTTTTAAATTCCTCAAGTATTTTCAAATCGGCAAATTAAATACTCAAGTATTTCTTGCGCAGAATTATTCTCCAACTAATAGTTGATTGCGCGAAATTAGGAACGAAATGGTCAACCGTTAAAAAGTTGACGGAAACCGTTATCTTTCCGTTAACTAGTTAACGGTTGACTATTTCGTTCCTAATTTCGCGCAGTCAACTATTAGTTGGGGAATAATTCTGCGCGAGCAATACTTGAGTATTAAAACTGCCGATTTCAAATACTTGGGGAATTAAATGTGCATTTTCCCCACAAAGACTATCGTTAAATTCTTGTTTTAATCCTTTAATACAGAATATTAATTTAGAACCATTTTTATAATGATGAAGTCGATGTTCAGTGTTCACATATGACATATATATGTGGTCATATCATATTTTTACAACCCTCAATTAAACATGTTAGAGTTATCTTCATTTAGCTAAAAAAAACTAAGAATTATCCTTGAGTGAATTTTATCTATTAATAATAACAATCCAATTTAATGTTGAAAGATTATATATTTTCATAAAAACATGAAATATATAATTTAAAAACTGTATCTCTTATTTATAAAAAAATGTATCTTTTCAAAAAACAAATTATGTTAGTTTTAAAAGTTGTATTCTTTCATTATAAGAAAATAAATTAGTTTAACAAATAGTTAAAATAATTTTTAAAAATTGTCTCTTCTCGTTATAAAATATAAATTAATAAAAGAAAACTCAATTAATGTTTAAAATTTTGTCTCTTCATAAAAATAAGAGTTTTGAATGTATGTATCTTCACATTGTTAAAAAAACGTATGTTTTTCATTAAAAAAACTGAATTTTATTAGTTTCAAAAGTTATAATTTTTCATTACAACTAAAAGTATTTCTTTTCATAAAACTGAACTCAGTTATAAGTTTTAATAATTGTATATTTTCATTGTAAACAATAATATTTATTAATAATAAGAATTTCATTTAATGTTGAAATATTGTATCTTTTCATAATAACCTAAAATCTATTTGTTTAAAAGTTTTATCTTTTTATTATCTTTTCTCATTATAAAAGACAAATTGACAAAAGAAAACTCAACTAATGTTTAAAATTGTGTCTTTTCATAAACAATAACTGAAATATATATTAGTTCTAAATGTTTGTGTCTTTACATTGTTAAAAAAGTATCTTTTCATAAAAATCTGAAGTCTATTAGTTTCAAAAATTGTGTTTCTTTGTTACACATAAAATTATTTATTTTCATAAAAACTGAACTCGATTAGTTTTAATAGTTGTATCTTTTCTTTGTAACAAATAATATCTACTAATAATAAGAATTCCATTTAATGATGAAAAGTTATATCTTTTCATAAAAAATGAAATATATTAGTTTAAAAGTTGTATCTTTATTTATAAAAAAGTTGTATCTTTTAAAAAAAAAAAATCTGTTATTTTTAAAAGTTGTATCCTTTCATTAAAAAATAAATAAATTAGTTTACCAAATAGTTAAAATAAATTTTAAAAGTTGTCTCTTCTCATTATAAAAGATAAATAAATAAACTCAATTAATGATTAAAATGTGTATTTTCATTTAAAAATAATTAAAATGTATTAGTTTTAAAATTTTGTGTCTTTACATTGTTAAAAAGATATATTTTTCATAAAAAAACTGAACTCTATTAGTTTCAAGAGTTGTGTTTCTTCATAACAAATAAAATTATTTATTTCCATAAAAACTGAACTCAATTAGTTTTAATATAGTTGTATATTTTCATTGTAAAAATTAATATATATTAATAATAAGAATTCAATTTAGTGTTGAAATATTGTATCTTTTCATAAGAAACAGAAGTATATTAGTTTAAAAGTTGTATCCTTTCATTACAAAAAAATAAATAAAAATAAATTAGTTTAACAAATAGTTAAAATAAACTTTAAAAGTTTTCCCTTCTCATTATAAAATATAAATAAATAAATAAAAGAAAACTTAATTAATGTTTAAATTTGTGTCTTTTCATACAAAATAACTGAAATGTATTAGTTTTAAAAGTTTGTGTCACTGTTAAAAAATATGTCTTTTCATAAAAAAACCGAATTCTATTAGTTTCAAAAGTTGTATTTCTTCATTACAAATAAATTATTTCTTTTCATAAAAACTGAACACTATTATTTTTAATAGTTGTATCTTTTCATTGTAAAGAGAATAATATCTATTAATAATAAGAATTTCATTTATTTAATGTTGAAAGTTGTATCTTTTTATAAAAAAAAAACTGAAATATATCAGTTTAAAAATGATAACTATTCATTATAAGAAAAGTTGTGTCTATTCAAAAAAAATGTTAGTTTTAAAAGTGGGAAATTTGTCAAATATGACTCAAAACTTGGTTTCATATGCAAAAGTAAACTCAAACATGAATCAAATGCAAAAGTAACCTAACAAGCTATTAAAATTACAACCAGCCCCTTGTGAACAAACAAAAAACCTCATTTTTTTTACCTTTCTACCCCCGTAACTATTCTATCTAGACGACTTTCAACTAAGTTGAAAGTCGTCTAGTATAGTTATTTTAAAAAAAAATTTAAAAAATTTGTAAAAAATATTTAGATAAGTGAAAAATTGAAATCATGTTATTAACACCAGTTTTAAGAGATATAAATTAAAGGCCTCCAGAGTAATGTGTGGAAGTTAAAGGCTCCAAGCAAGATGAAACACTGTTTGTGGCAAGCTATTTCCGGTTGTGTGGCGACAGCAGAGAGGCTAACTTATAGACACATGGGCACCGATAGGAGTTGTCCTAGATGTTCTGGCCCAGTGGAGTCGATTAACCATCACCTTTTTTAGTGCCCCCCTGCCATGCAGGTTTGGGATTTATCGGACTATTCGTCCCTTCCGGGTCACTTCCCGTGTATATCTATTTACCAAAAGATGAACTTTCTGTTTTGGAAGCGAAAAGAAGTGGCTCCTTTGAGACCACAATTCGACACTTTCCCATGGATTTGTTGGTATATTTGGAAGGCAAGGAACGACAAACTCTTTAATGGGAAAGACGTATCTCCAGTGGACACTCTTCAACATGCGTCTCTTGAGGCAGAATGTTGGAGGAAGGCAAACGAGAAGGAGGAAGTAAATGAGGATCATGAGGTACCTCCTAGTTCAGAGTCCCCTAGGATCCCCCGAATCCCTACATGCCAAATTGATGCATCATAGATCAATAATGGTAGTGTCAGTGGTGTAGGATG